GAACTTCCCATTGGCAATGTTCTGCTCTTCATTTTTCTGTTGTTTTTCATGTCAGTGGGTTGTAAAACCGGCCCAAGGCTCACCTCTGCAATCCATGCTGAGGGCCTTCGTAGGGGAAAGTGGAGGAATTACTGAGTTGAAGCTGAGTGGCTGGTGTGTTGCAAACAAGCAAGAGCAGGAGAGGGCTGAAAGAAATGCATGTGAGCTGGTAGTGATGTTAGGACTTACAAGGCTGGGCACAAGAGCTTACTTACTCACCAGCTATTGTTCATTTCCAGGGCCTTGAGAGAGTGTTTGTTTTCCAGATAGGGCAAGAAGTCCGAAGTCCATGCTGGTGCTGGCCAGTCGTTAATAATATCAGCACCTACTTGATTCTTGTCTTGTCCTTCCCAAGTCAGGAAGAGGCAGAGTAGGGGGGAAAGGAGTGGTACCAGCCTAGGCCCTCTCCTTTTATCAGAAAAATCAGTAGTCTCTAAGGGGCTCCACAAACTCTGCTGGAAGGTTTACCAGACTGTGACACAAGGCCACTTCTTTCTTCAAATAGTGTACATTTCATTTGCAAGAGTGGAGATGGGAGATGAAATTGCCCTGTCCATTGTCTCAGCAAAGAAACTGTATTTGAGAGCACAGGGTTCATCTTCTTCCTGTTTGACCAATGGATTTACTAGAGAAAGCCCCAGAACCTCAGCATGAGGGCGAGCAAGAAATTTTAAAAGACACGTGCTTGTGTATAATGGTCACATTATAGATGATCAGGTATCAACCTTCCCCGGGGATAGAACAGCTGCTGGAGTGCATGTCTTAAAGAAGTGATCAATTACTAACATTTTAAAAGTTCAGTACACAGAGGGCTGTGGCAGAGTGAATAGCGGCCTCTAAGATATACAGTCACCTAGTCCCTAGAAAGGTGTGTGTGTGTGTGTGTGTGTGTGTGTGTGTGTGTGTGTGTTGAGTGGGTGGATTGCTAAGGATAGTGTGTGCAGGTGTGGGTGCGATGTGAAGGTCTGTGGTCTGGTATTTTGTGGGGGGTGTGGGTGTGTGTTATGAGTGTGTGGGTGTGGGTGTCCAATAATCTCATCTCTTAAGTACAAACAAAATCTCTCAGCACAGTCACTTGACATTTAAGAGGCAGTTAATTGTTCTGTGCGGTCTTCGCCATGCTCAGCATTTCTTTGCTCTCTATTCCTTCTTATTTAAAAAAGCTTCATAAACTTCAGGAAGCTCTCAGGAATTTACAAGCCAGCATTTCATGGAAGCTCTAGATATAAGTCATCCTGTTGCTTTACTATCATGCTACAGCTTTGCTGTACCTTACAGTCAGACACAATGCACGGCTCTCCAGTATTCCACACTGCTCCTGCCATGGCCTTGCAAGCTTTGTGTGGCAGCTGAACCTGCCGTTTGCTTATTCTATTTTGGGTTTTGGTTCTGTTGTAGTTATTTTTTGTTCTGATAGTTTTTCACATGGTGAAGTTATTTGTTTATATAATAAAAGAGAGGGATTTCTACTTTTTTAATGGATTTTACCCAAATCATTTTGGTATTATTTGATCAGTTATAGTATTTGGGAGCTTGAGACCACGAGAACCATGTCAGAGTAATCCCTGCCCCTTCCCATTGATGTGCATAGATAATTCTGTGGCCTAGAGTTTATGTCACATACAGAATGAATTCAGAGCTTTAAAAGCCCTAAAGTGCTCTGGAATATTGTAATAATGTTACTTAAAGTTGCTTTCATCTAGCCTGCTGCATGAAACGTTATGATGGCAGTGATGTTGCCTTGCCACAAAGCAGCATGAATAACATTAACATTTGAGAGGAGATGCAGGTTTTACGTCCACTCTACAGCAGATCGAGTTTGTGAACAGCTAGGATAGTTCAGGGATTGTTAGAATTTTAAATCTCCATGACTACATTCTCCTCCTTACAGGGCAGTTCCCTCGAATCACATTCACTTTGCTTATGCTCATGGGATGTTGTTTTAACTCTTAGGGTATGGATCCGAAAGAAATGATAGCCTTAAAAGTGCCATGCCTGATCACATGCCTGGCCCTCACTTGGGCTTGATAGTACAGAAAAAGACATAACCCTCTTAGTCACTACTTGGGCAGGTGGTGATTCCTGCCCTTTGAAGTGAGTTAGTTATGTCTAAGTGGGTCCTATGGCAGGCTCCATGCCCATAGATCCCTTCTTCAAAGGACCTGTGTCCCCCAGCAGTGAAAAGGTTTCTCTGACAAAGAGACAAAACTGTACAGGTGACTGGAACCTGAACTTTGATATGGATGGGATTGTTTCTGGCTGTCATTATTAAGATTTAACTTAGACAATGAAAAGACTAAGGAAGAGTAATGACTGTTTATGTTTCTGACTTAGATGACTACTAAGAAAGCTTCATGTGTTAATATTGTATTTTTCCTATGTCAACCCATTTACTATTATGTCACACAGTTGTCCCTACTTTACACAAAAGACTAAGCAGAGATATTTGAAGAGATTGGCTTTTTCTCCATGCTAGAGACAGGACTAAGTAAAGCAGTTGAGAGTCCAGAGAGCTAAAAGAAGTCTTGACTAGTGTGGCCAAAGTATTGTTGGTGACCTCCAAGAAACTGTTAGATGCTTAAGTAGACCAAACTCCCACTGCAGCTGTTCAGTGTTTTCTTAAGGAATCTAGTGAAGTGTTTTGATATTTTATTTAATGTTCATCTTTGCATATAATGTTTTAGATCCAATCTATGCAAGGCTTTCCCTCCCCCCATCACCCATCAGATGCCAACAGCTCTTCAGATAGAGGGAGAACTGCATGAGCACCTCCCCCATCCATTCTAGGATTTTAGCTGACTTGAGCCTGTGCAGCTCTGGTGCATACAGTCCTAGCCTCTGTGAGTTCATGTACGCAGCTATGCTGCCATGTCCAGCAAACACTGTTCCACTGCAGACTTCTCCTCCCTGTGATTCCTACAGTCCTTCCATGCCTTCTTCCTCAGTGATCCTCAAACCTTTCTAGAAAAGGATGTGGTGTAGATGTCCCATTTGGACCCTGCTTGGGCAGTTGTTGATGGCCTGTTTCTGGAGTTAGTAGCCCCAAGTCCAGGAATCTTTCCTCTAGAAGACCCAAGTTCTCTGGCAAAGGGAAGGACTTTTAGACAGAGAAGCAATACTGATATTTAGAACTGAGCACTCCACAGACTCTATGCATGTTGACCAGTTGGGGGTCTTTATATTAATTAGCATATACTGCAAAAGGAAGCTTCTATGGTGAGGGTTAATCAGGGAATCAGTATATGAGCATAAAGATTAAAAACTTACAGACATATATTATTATGTTGATTAGCAGAATAAAAAAAAAACAATAGTAGTAAAAAGTAAAACTTTTTATGCCTATGACTTAGCCAGTCAAAGATTTGGCCCAGTTAATGGTGCTAGGAATGAGGCCCATCTTGTGAGATGGGGTTTAATTCCAAGCAGAAAGTAGTTGGTTACTCCTATGATATTCCTGCCACTATTACACTGTTTCATGCGTTTTGCCAGACTAGTCATTATTATAGCTTATAAGGTTAACTGAGTGAGACTTTGATGACTCTACTCATTTCATGGCATGCACAGAAACTTCCAGCTCTAAGAACTCTGGCCATATGAATGAAACTCATAGATCATTATCAGCTTGATTTTTTTCATGCCCTAGAACTCCAGATACACAGTATCTTCAGCAGTAGGCTCTCATAATCAAGTAACCAAGAGCAATGACAATTGCCTGTAATGTTTGGCAACATGTATGAGACTATACTGACCAACAAATCAAAAAGAGGTAACTAATACCTGGAACTGGGCTTTTTATTTTGTAGCTTATAGTGTCTGAAGGAAATGTTGACCCCTTGTTATATATAGCTTAACTCCATTTAAACTTTGTGGGGTGTGTGCGTGCGTGTGTGTGTGTGTGTGTGTGTGTGTGTGTGTGTGTGTGTGTGAGTGTGTGCGTGTGGGGGGGGTTGGGAGGTTGTGGGGGTGTGTGTGTGCGTGAGTGTGTGTGTGTGGGGGGTGTGTGTGTGTGGTGTGTGGTGTGCATGTGTGTGTGTGTGTGTGTGTGCGTGTGTGTGTGTGTGTGTG